TTTCTTCATACTTGGTAGGATTAGATCTTGACACGAGTACTGTAGATGTGCTTCTGACAGTACCGGTAATGACCACGGCCTCCCAAAAATATGCAAATTAGATCAATGCAGTTATTTGCTGCTATCTCTACCACCACGTGTTGATTTTTTATTCATATTTGGTATGATTACACCTTGGCGCGAGTAGATGTGATTTTGGCAATAATGACCACACCCTCCGAAAAATATGCAAATTAAAACAATGCAGTTATTTGAACTTTGATTTGACCCAGGTCCTGGTAATATACTAAGACCTTAATTAACAAAGAAGTCATGTACATTAAGGTTCACTCAGATTAATGAATGCAATTTCTTGAGCAAGTATACATGTATGACAAATAGTTTTGTTGCACTTGTGTACTCTGAGATTCTGAAAATGGGTCAGTGGAAGTTTTTAGTTGTCAGTACAAAACTAGATTATGGGAAATCACTTCATGATGAGTTGTACCCACATAGAGTACATATTCATTCACCTGTTTGCAGATGTTCCTTGTACTACTTTATAATCAACTGTGAAATTTATGTCTTGTTATTTTTGTCTTTTGTGCAATTTAAAGCAATTCATGATATAAATCTGACGTAAAGAAAACCTTTAAATTTTTCTTTCCGTGTTTTGCAGGTACTATGTTGCAGAGGGTGTTCGCATCTACTCTCAAGAAACATGGAGAAGAGTTCACAGGAAGTCACGGAAAAGAACTAGTAGAAACTTACATTGCTGACACAGTAAGTTGTCTAAACATGCCATTGTTATTCCGAGTACAACCAGAATATTGTTTCGAACACTTTCTGTATTTCCTCTTGCTCAGAGTTATAAATGTCTTATATATAATGTTTAAAACAATTTGGTGTTATTGATACTTTCTTTGGCTAACTACAATTTCAAGTATTACCTGGCACCAAAAAAAAATTAAAAAAAAAGTATTTCAATGTGATAATATGTGAAGAAGTGCTTCATAATGCTTCATATGCTTCACTCCTCCAAAATTAGAATTTCGTTTCCAATCCATAGTACTTTTATAAATGTTATGATCAAACCTTGTTTAAAAGTAAATTACACATTTTACTCCTTAACAAATCTGTTTCCTTTAACATAATTAATAAAGCTAACAAATCTTGTATGAACTAAAACAAATTGATGTTATGTTACAGTGCCCCATGATTTTATTTGATGTCTTCATACATGTATCACTATACCTAGTGGTTTAAATATTTTATAAACGTAGTTGGATAAAATTCTTTTCACAAGGTCAATGTATTGTGTTTTTCATGATAAAGATACATAAATAATAGATCTGTTCCTTTGTTGTCCTACTCTAGGTGGAATACTATATAGCTCAGACGTTAGCTGATAACCATGCAGTACGGGAAGCTGCCTGCGCCTGTATAGCTGAATTAGGGATCAAAGGTAAAAAAAAATAGTCTTTGATCTTTTTGTTGAGATTGTTAAAAAGCCAAAATGGATCCAAAATATTAAGGAAAATCTGTGACAGAATTACTTATATAGAAACAGATTATACTAAAAAAAAACTATAGCAAAACTTTGAAAATACAAAAAATTTAAACTAAAAAATGAATATATATCCAGACATGGAAGGAACAAGTAAATCACTATCATAATTGTAGGACAGAAGGCAACAAACTAAAGAACTTATAAATTACTTAAACATGAATTTCGTTTTGAAAATTAAAGACTTCAATCTAAGGTAATTACTGTCAAAATTTCATCTATGTGATTACAACTTAGATACTGATAAGGTTCGAGGATGAAGTACATTTCGTTTTAGTCTTTACATTCTTTCACATTGATAAACAAAAATTATCTTGCCGGAATGTGGAATAAATATAATTAATAACCCGTAATCAATAATTAATTTTCGTTAAAATTGTGAACAACAACATTCTATTTTCAAAATATCTCAAGAAGAATACAATTAACAAATCACCAATAAAATAGAAGAAGTGGGCTTAGCTGTAAACTGTTACTGCAGAAAGTTGTGAATAAATTTACCAGGAAATGGGATGACCTTGGATCTCTTGCTTTCTGTTATCTTTTGTTATGCTGATGTGTTTTGATTACCATACTGATGTTATAGTAGTGTATTGAAGTTATTATGTTAAAACGGTACGCTCTTGACATATTTGGTGATGCCATGGAAAACATAGCAAGTTAAACTTGTTCTCAAACGTTGCAATTTGATAGCATTATTTCTTTCTTTCTTTCCAGGTAACCAAGGATTGTGTAAGACCACACGTACCAAGATTGCTTCAAGCGTTACTAGACTGTTTTCGAGACGAGAGTTGGCCAGTGAGAGATGCAGCGTGCATAGCTTGCGGCAACTTTGTGCAGTGCTTCCCAGATGAATCAAAGTAAGCAAATGTTTGCTGGTGTATTGCTCTATCCTTGCCATAACCCTAATTGCACGGTATTGACTCAGGGGGTGCTTGTCATACATGTGTATCATTGATGTTTCATTCTATGTTGTGTCCACGTCAACTGTGAATGACGCCTAGGGAAGTTTTTATATTAAGCTGAAAATAGTAAATAAATCAAAGCGGGCATTTTCTGAATAAATTCACACCATTTTGACTCATGTGTTGGGTTCAATTGGTCCGTCCGTCCATCCGTCTGTCTGCATCACTTTGATTTTGTTCAAAGTTGGTACAAAAGCAATTTGTTATGAAATCATTATTCAGCTTGTTTTGTTATTTGTTTCATTTTGTTTTATTTGACCTTTGACTGACTGGTGCCAAGTGTTGTCCCTAGAACTCAACAAGTGGACATGTCATCAAGGTTTCTCTGGCATGACGTGGCCGAATTAATTGAAACTTATTTTTGTTTCATTATTTTGTTTCATCATTTGATTCAAAATTTGTGTTTCAGAAAGGCAATACACGGTGGTGTGAATATTTCTGGTAATTCAATTAGATTTCTTTTCTAATATTTGTATGTACTTTGCATTCTCAACCAGTCCTACATGTGGACTGGTAAAATTCCATATGAATGAACATTATTTTTCTAGTGATACAATACAATTGAACATTTAGTTATTTATTTATTTTTTTTTTTTTTTTTTTTGAAGACTGGGTCTGTGAAATTTAGGTTTTGTTAAAAGCAGAGTATGGACAACTCTCAAGTTACTTACTGCTCGTTTCTCTTCATATACTGTAACAAAATCCCATCACTTCTGCATTTGTCTCGCAGGGGCTGCATGCAAGCGCTGTATCCTCTATTTTTCAAAAACCTTGAAGATAATATTCCTTCTGTCAGGCAAGGTGCTGCAGTAGCGTTGTCCAATGTTGCTAAGGCCTACGGTAAGTGTACAAGAGGTTTGCATACTCCTACAATGCACTCAAATATAATATTGTTGATGAAGGGGATTTGGTGTTAGGCATTTATTAAAATATTAAAGAATTAGTAATTGCAAATGAAATGGAGATATAAATATTTGGCTCTCCCGATGCAACTATCATTCCCTGATATGTAGCGGACACATCTTGCCAAATTCAATTTGTAGTTCTCTTCGTAGTATGCGCCTGATATGAGTTGATTTTTATTGTATTTTCAACATGTTTTAGATGTCATTCAGTCCTCCAGATTTT